CCACAAGCATAATTAAAGCCTCTTCTGCTCCCTACCCTCTTCAGTCCTTTTTGACTATGAGCACTATGAGAAGAAGCAGACCTGCAGAAGCAGCTCTCAATGTCTAATGTCAACCAGCACAGAGTTGCACTGTCATACCTAGCATACTATATTAAGTTTGCACTGATTATAATCACCTATGGTTGAGCTACATAAATTTCCTTAGCTTCAAAAGAATTATATGCACAGGTGTCTTGTAGGACTGATCTTTTACTGCCACATTATAACTTTATATTTGAGTTAAGATACAGAATATGAAATTTCTCAGAACGGAGAGCCAGACTGAAAAGCAATCCTTCAGCAAGGAAATAGGAGTCATCATGGATCACAGGCTGAACATGAGTCAATAACATCAGAATGCCAACACCATACTGAGACATAAACATAATTCTGACCTCTAAGACATGCAGAATAATCCTTCACTCTATTTAGGGCAGTTAAGCCCTTAGCGGGAGTATTGTGCATCTAGTTTTGGATGTTACACTTCAAAAGAAAATGTGAACCAGCTGGAGAGAATCCACATGGGACCAGTGAGCGTGGCCAGAGATCTGGAGAACATGAGAAGGAAAAAAAATTGAAGAATTGGGACTATTTAACCTATGAAGAAAGAGACTGATGGAAGATGGATATCAGTCTTCAAATTGTTAAAGGATTCTGTAAAAAGGAAATGAATATATTCTCCATACCTATAATGAACTGAATAGAAAATAACAAGTGTAAACCACGATAAGGGAGAGTCTGGCTGACTGTTTAGAAATCTTCCTAAGAACAGCAGTGAACAACAGAAACACTCTGCCTTAGAAGATTCCAGTACCAAAGGAATTAGGAATCTCCATTACCAAAGGTCTTTAAAAACAGGTTAGACAAGCATCAGTCAGAAATTACAGAGGTACAACTGATCCTGCCTTCAGGAGGAGAAATGCAGTAGATGACCCCTCAAAGTCCTTTCCAGTATCATGATTCTATGATTCATCAAGCGCCAGCACTTTGAATACCCAGTATCTGATGTAAAGTTACTGAAACATGACTATCCTTTTGAGTTTGTATTTGGTGGTGCCTTCTTTCTGTATATCCTGTGGCTCTGATTCTGATCTACAACTGAGAAAAAGTCTATATTTGGTGGCACCTGTTACTTATAATGATTAATTTTTACATATTCCGATAGATCTGACCAGTCACGTGATCAGTAGGACATGAAAGGTGACTAACATTCTCCTGTAGGTTCAGTTGCTGTCTTGATTCCATCCTTTCAAATTGCACTTCTTTTGAGGTACAACTTGTCTGTTTTTCTGTCTGCTACAGTCGTGAGCACACTGACAAGACTCAACAGAAGAGTTTAAGTAACTCCTAACAAGGAAATGATGTGAGGACCTCCAGTTGTCAGGGAAACAATCCCAATTAATTCCAGATGATGTCAATGGTCAGGTTCAAATGTCCATAACACTAAACAAAATAATGGGTTTTTTTTTTAGTCCTGCTGAGAGATGTCTGTTCACCACCTATTCAATAAGTCATCTTCCTATATAGCTGAAGTAACTCTAAAGCAAAA